CTTTTTCCTTTTTCCACCTCGTTCCTGCTCTGTTTCTCCCGCCCCACCAATAAACTCATCCAGGATCCATGAATCACTCAGCTCCATTCAGTCGTTTCAGCGCCATATTTCCTCTCCGCTGATACTGTCAGCTGTACGTTTACACTCGTCAATAAATCTTCAGACATCAGCAACAACGGCCACCGGGTCCTCGTCGCTCTCACTGTCGGCTGCCGTTGTCCTCTTTGCCAGTGTATCTCTTTCAGTGTCTGGTTTCTTTCGGATTTCCCGTAAGTTGTTGACTACAGGTCAACCGCAAACAGGTGTCAAACTCCAGCAGGGTTGTTTTGAGTTACCTTTTGTTTGACTACAAAAACTTCCCCCGGCTCGGCCTATATTTACGGGAAAACATGGTGTTGTCAAAACTTGACCCCACAACAAACGTGAAATATGATCCTGCTATGGACATAACTGTATTGCTCATTGTGCTTTCTCAGGGTAAATAATTTTACATTTTCAACTTTAAAAGATATCTTTAAGTCCATTTTTGAGTCCATTTTAAAGTAAATTTATGTTATTATACTGTATATTTAGTGTTGGTTAAAGGGAGAGTCTGCAATTCCAATCTAACAATCAATAATCTTTCTCCAGAATTGTAGATTCCACCTTAAAGGTGCCTTTTTTTCTTTTTTTCTTTTTTTTTACTTTTCATTTTTGGCAGCAGAACTATTTTGTTTTTGCAAAATATCTCTCAAATGAGCAAAACAACAAAGACATTGTAGAAACCTGAAGGCATATTTTCATAATGGTAAAGCAGGTGACCACGTTATTTTAAAGCTGCATTCATTTATTCATTTTTTTTAATTAAATAATGTGTACTTGAAGGGAGGAGAAACAACTAAATACAACACAACATATTTTCACCTTGTGACGGCTAGCAGCTTAGTCTTTAACCTTTGCTATTTTCACATCCAACTGACAGTCAGCAACATCCAAATTTATGTTTTTGGTCATTAAAGTCTACAATTCTGTCTCTCTTCAGGTATACTCTTGAGAAAGCACCTTTATCAGCTAAATTCTTCACCATAGTGACCAGTTACTTTGCTAACTTTGGTCCTCGTTACACAGTGTAAAGTGTGGTTACCAAAAAAAAGGCTGATGAGAGCTGTGAGATTGAACCAAAATAGTAAAGCTGTGGGCCACAAACCAAAGCAATGAGCTCAAAGATGTTGCTCTGAGAAGCTGATGAAAATGATTTGCTTCTGGCAAAATTCTCGCTTGATGAAACACCACAAGTGTCACCTTTTACACAACACAGTCATCTGGTACGTAGTTCATATAAAAATACTGAGTGGTACAGCTTTCATTTGAACAGAAACATTTTTCCTGTCATCCTTCCGAGCTATTTGATTCCACAGCCTGATGGGAAACGGTCATACGGCGAAGGAGGTGACGGCAGCATTAAGTGAATGTAAAGGAAGAAGCAAGGCTGGCATTAAGTTAATGACAGGCAGTAATTTGGGTTGACATGCTTGTCATTAGGTTGACTTATGAGAATTTTCGTGCACGATGGGAAAAGCTAGTGAAGCTACGTCTGAAATTATAATCATACTTATTGGTGCAGTCTGGTATGATGTTTGGAACCTTATTGTCAATGCACGGCTAATCACATGGCACAGCCTGAAGAGCCTGAGAAGCAGTTTAATGTATCCGCTGATGTATGGTGAAGGCAGGTTGTTGGTTGGAGCAGAGACCCAGGGGGATTCAGATGATGTTGTTTTATTAAGAACAGTAGTGTGCTGCACTGTAGGTCCTGCTGTCTGTGACCTGCAGCTGACTTTCACTCTGAGGCTTTATCTCCCCGTGGCTGTTAACATGCATGATGGATGCTTCCTAACTGTTTGTACAGACTCACCCCTCTGGAATTTGTTTACAGGCCCGACTTCATGTGTGTATATATATATATATGTGTGTACATGTGTGTTAGTGGGGGTCACTGCTCTAATGCTGCCTGCTCAGTGTTATCCCACACTTTTAAAATGAGTGAATAAAAAGCACACACACACACAATGCTAAAATGTTCTTATTACTGGGGATTTCAGGGACCAAGTGGTATTGTAAATCAGAACAGCATGTTAGCTTGGCCACCGTTGCGCCTCACCAGCGGACTGGACTGGAGTCTGAACCGGACCGAGTTTGGTAAAGTCGTCCTCCAAACAGTTCCCCACTTATTCCACAGAAACTTTCATCTGGAAAAAATTCTTCACAGCAAAAGAGAAGGGGGAAAAAAATGGAGAGTAATCCCATGAAGCCAGCCACTCTCCAATCTGTGCAGTGGAAAAGCCATTAGAGAGCAGATGAGCAAGAGGGACGAGCAACTGGAAGATGAATGACAAGTGCCTAAGCTTTTATTTGAAGGTAAACAGCTAATTATAAAGACATTCAGTGTCACATACTGTGCGGATTCACTCCGCTTTAGCTATTTCTCCCTGCCAGCTAGCTGCTGCAGTGAGAGTCTTTCACAACTCACTCTTTAAACTTTAAATCAAAGCTCCCCTTAAATTAAGAGGGCTACTTCATTTGATGCTGCATCTCAAATTAAGGACCTGAGATTTAGGTCCTTTGGCGCCGTTACATCAATCTGACTTCTTTAAAGCAAACCACAAATGAGATGGGTTCTTTAGAGAGGATTAAGTAGAGTCATGCTTGAAATTAAGACTGAGACTAGCAGCACCAGAAGGCATGAGACTCTGACAGCGAGCAAATAAATATTCTTGGTTGAAGGACAAGATAATGATGTTGCATGGCTTAGATGTCAGCTACTTTTACTGACTTTAGGCTCTGTTTGAATGATATCTAGCCTTTGGTGATAAAAACTTCAAGCTTATTTTCTGTCATATACTCAGATGTAATGAATGCTGTACTAAACAGGCCGCTGCATCAGAGTCCTGGATGGATACAACAGAAACACTGATTCTGGTATTCAGACTGACCACTTGGGGTCAGCACAAGAACCTGTAAATGCAACACTGACATATTATCACCGTCTACCTTTAACTTGTAAAATGATTTGGTTAGCAGTTTCTTAGTTATACGTCCTGAAACAGAAAGCAATACATTTAAAGCATTCATTTAAAGTCGCGGGTGTGTTCACTTGATCATTGCTTTTTTTTTTTTTTAAACTCTATTCTGGTTTCTACCAAATCCTGAAATAAATGTTTTTTCTTCAAAGTATGTCACTGTGTCAGCTAAATGCTAATCTTACCTGTGTAGTTTGTTGTGCTGTAGGCAGTGTAGCCCACTGATCATGAGAACATCATGAGAGAACCAAAACAGAAAAGCTGCTGGTTCAAAAACTAAAAAAAAAAAAAAAGAACTGAAAGATGGCAAAATACAGATCACTACAAGTGACATCCTTTACATTAAACATACTTATTTAATCCATTGTTGATATTAAAATATTGACATAAGGGTTCTGCAATAGCTCAACTGGTTGAGCTGGTGTCCCATGTTCAGGGGCTATAGTCCCTGAAGCAGAGGTCATGGGTTGGGTCATGGCCCTTTTCTGCAGGTCCTTCCCCCATTCTTCTCCCCCACTTTCCTGTCTCTCTCTTGACTTTCCTGTCAAATAAAGGCAAAAAAGGTCAAGAAAATAACTTTAGAAAATAAAAAATAAAATACTGACATATAACATTTTGTATTCAGTCAGACATATGGAGCATTGTGCTCAGTGCTGCTGCTGACAGATGGAAGATATGTTGCAAAAAAAATAATGTTGCAGCTACATTTGTTGCTACAAAGAGTGGGAGTGGCGATGAGAAAAATGTTCAGCAAATTTATCTTTAAATTCCAGGAATAGGTGCCTCACAGTGAACAGTTCAGTAGTATTGCCCTCTTGCTTCAGGGCTGTGTCGTTGGGAGCTTTTTAAAGGATAGGTTCACATTTTTCCAGGTGTCATAAAACAATATTCACATGCAAGCATGTGCACTGAAAGAATTATTGGTAGCTGTAATCATTCCTCCTGTCTGTACTGGCCATAAAGAGGTCCCTTCCTAAAGCAATTCCAAGGTGAGTGATGGGGGATAAAAGCCACAGTAATTGTTCTGTGAAAGAATGTTTGCAAAGTTCACCTAAAGATAATATGAGGCTTCAGCAGTGTGAGTTTTGTCAAATCAAGCAGAAAAGTTCAAATATTCCATCCATGTCCATGTGGGCATGCTAGTTCATGGGCATGTTTAAAGAAAGAAAGTTTAAAAATTCAAACTTGTCCTTTCAGCTGTTCGTGTGGTACTAAAAGGGCCTATAGAACAGCACGTACACAACAAATGTTTGTGTTCCTGTCTGCACATGCACAGCTTTGACCTGTCAATCATTCCTTTTATGGCGCAGATTAATGAGCTGTAAATGCGCTTAAGTGAGAGCAATAATGCCCTTATCATGTCGGCTATATATAGGACTATGTCACACAGTGGATCTCTTACTCATTGTGTGTTTTCTTCTCCATCTCTCTCTGTATCTAGGACAGTTCGTCATGTGACGTGTGACAGTCAGCTCTGTTGTGGCGAGTTTTATTTCAGCCTGACAACCATGAGACAGTTGGACTCTGGTCACTGCATTGCTGTTGGTGTGCTGTTAACACAGAGAATTTGATGAGCAGGCAAAGATATTCATTCTACAAAAGCGTTAAAGTCTCTTTTTTGAGTGGATGCAAATCCCCTCACATTCAACAACAGCTCTTTCTGGCAGCAGCAGGCCAGTTCTGGACCAGTTTCTGGCTGGGCCTGTTGGGCCCGGCAGGCCATGGCAGGGATTTGCCTCTCTGAGCGAGCGAGCAGGGAACCCATCTGAAAACTGCTGAATGGCTCACGTCAGTGAAAAGAGACACTCTGAAAAAAGAAATTTGAACTTAATTGGCAAATGAGTAATTTCTCATGTTTGGCAGAAGTTTTCTGTCTGGATCAAACCAGTGCAGTAAAGTTGATTTAAACGCCGACGGATGAATAACGAGAGACATTACAAATCTGGTTTTCAGATATTTTATTGAGGAAAACATCTTTAACCTTTTGATCCATTGGACACATAACATATTATAGCAAAAAAGCTATTGAGAACATATCCTTTGAAGCCCGATCACAGATTCAAAAGCACTGCAACACCGGCAGTGTCAGATACATTTATAAAAATAACAATCATAAAAAATATACATACATGACGAGGATCTTTTTCTTTCTTTTTCAAATTCTGATTTGTAAAAGACTGCTTAAACAGAAACAGCTAGTTAAGACAACGCATACAAGACGATGCTGTAACCCACAATCTCTAACAGATAGGCACGATCACTAACTGACAGGCAGACTGGAGCTAGCTAGCTAGTCAGCTGTTAGGACTTCACTGAGTATAAAACGACAATACCTTGCCTGCACAATCCAAAGGATACCATCAATGTGGACAGTCATTGAGAAGAAGAAACTATTGAATAGAGCAGTTTTGAATTATCAGAATTATGTGAGACAGAGGATTAGAAAGAAATGCTTTTTCAGCGAGAGAATTTCTCTTTTTGTTGCAGTATTGAGCTGACTCTGGGCCAAACCTGCATGTTTACGCTTAAAATCACCATTTTCATTTTCTACCTGCCATCAGGAAAAGCTGCAGTCTAGTTTGCAAGAAATAAGTGTGCTGACGAAGCTGAAGCATGTAATCATATATATATTTATGTACAGTACAGTTCTTCAAAACGGGGGTGGAATGAAGCATAAAAACATGAATATGTATCGATGAAGCAACCTCACAAATGAAACATAAGCTGCAACCACAGACTGGGTATGAAGATGGACGTAGCAAGCAATGAAGTCACCTGCTGGTTTGCAATGAGGTCAAATTGAAGCCTAAAGACTGTCTTTATGGTCGACATTTTATTATTAAAGCCGGGACCTTTCAAATATGGGAAGCAACAGAGTAGAGAGACACCTAAACCCACTCCAGATCATTTCAGTCAAGACAGTTGTGCCTCCAAACATGCTTTTCTTTGAAGCTTAAGATCTGCTTAATTATGGAGTTAATTTATTTTGTATTTCAGTGGAGAGCTATGTGCTTTATGAATGGGAGTATAGTGGAGTCAGTCATTTTGTAAGAGCCAGCAACTCGCAACTCTCAGCGTTATTGCACTTTAAGGTACGTTAGCTTCAATTTCAGGCTGTGGTTGTTGCCGCTCAGTAACTTATGAAGCTGATGTGAATGCAAGCACTACTTTTTTTTTTCCTTTTTTTTTTTAAATTAACAATCAGATGATTAAAACAGAGAGCAAATGCTGATAACAGAATGTCTTGGTCTCCCTAAAAAAAAGGGATATGCTGCTTACACTGTCCATCAGTCTGACCTCAACACAGACGGTTTGTACAGTAAAACATGATAACCCTAAAGAGATAAACCCCATCACCAGCTGCACCCATCTCTCCAGACCGACTCACTCTCCCCTCTGGCTTTTAACCGCCGCATTTTCCTTTCTCTCACTTTTCTTTTTTAAAGTATTCTCTTCGGTCTCTCTTTCTCTCTCTCTCTCTGTATTCTATATCATCTACATCAGCAAATGACCTCATTAAACTTTATGGCTGGCAAGCGGAGCTACCACAATGTTTGGCACTACATTTTTCTGAACCCTAAACAGAGCGTCTGCAAACCCAACCCAAGCTAAGTTCAAGCTCTTCAACAGCAGCTGAGGAATTCCCTGCCAGGGTGCTACAGCAAACAGTGTCTCATCATCTGAGGTGTCTGTGCAAATATCCTTCTACTGTAGGGTGAAGCTTTGGGGAACACACATGCCGAGCCCTCTCTTGAAATGCAGTCTTTCCTCTCTCTGTCTCTTATCTACTTATTGTGACTTTTTTTTTTTTTTCTCGGATGAGAAAAAGAGAAGCACCGCTGTACAAAATATACAAGAAATATCGTGAGTGTCTTTGTTGCTGATGATCATAAAATGCTTATCAACCGCTGTCATTACAGTTTAATCGTTTGAATATTAATTTGGGACATTTGAGCATCACTCAGAGAGGATAACATTTTGAGATTCCAAACATCCCCCACCAAAAATGTGAATCTCACAAAGACCAATCAATCGTACACTTTTCACTGCTACTTCACTGCAAATCCACACTAACGTATAGTGCCCTTTTTCATCCAAACGTACACAAACACTGACTGTGCATAAGTTCACATATACATTCACAAGCCTCTGGGGTGCTACTGTCTTGTGTGGCTGACTAGAAACAAAGTGGGGTCATATGGCCTGCTCATTCTTTTCTCTGCCCACAGTGAGGCAATAGGCACTTATAAACACATATATGTTCACATATACAAATAGACATTACAATAGCTTCATATTTTGCTTGGTTTTTTCCCCCATCAAAATTGGGTTTTCATGTTAGAAGAAAAAAATCTTTGGTCTGTAAACAACCATAATTATATCCAAATGCAAGGCAGAGATGCCGGATTGTTACCCAAACTAGTATAACAGCATCTCACCTCGGTTCAGCTGATGGAAAGCAGAATGTAGGGTGCTCATTTTTCAGCCCCACACAGACCTCTGGTTTCTGATTTCACCCAGAGTGCGTGCATGCGTGCGTGCATGTGTACGTGTGTGTGTACGTGTACGTGTGTGTGTGTGTGTGCGTGTGTGTGTGTGTGTGTGTGTGTGTGTGTGTGGTCACAGAGCTACACACCCCTGAATGCTGGCCTGGAGTAGCTGTCAACTTCAGGACACTGATGCAGCCATGTGGTCTGCTGCTGCTGGAACATGCTGGCTAATGAGTTCGTGACAGATTGAATCAGTCTTGTACAGCCTTAATGACAGTTCTGCTGTTCGCATTCAAGGCCATCACACTTTTGCATTTAGCCATTGCTGCCAAGCTCCCTAAATTAGTCTTTTCCAAACCTTGTTGGCCTGGGCAGAATCAAGAGATGTTGGCGTTTCAAGAAATGTGAAAGATTCACATTAAAATACGTACTTGAAGTGAACGCCAACTGTTCTTGATTGACCATTCATACTCAAAGTATGAACAAAAACAGAAGCTTTGATGCAAAACATTAAACAGAGGATTCCTTTTTCTGTCAGCTGTTTAGCACTGGGCAGGTTTGAGGCTGCGACTATGCCGCTCACTCCTGTTTAAAGCAATCGGACTCACTTCCTCATCCTTTCTTTGGGGCTGAATCAGTTACACGGCAGCCAGGTGGAGTAAGCAGGCTGCTGGCAAGCAAACACCGGTTGTACCTGTGCTATGTAGTAGTTACTGAAGTTACCATCTGCCACATAAGGAGCAGGTTGGTAGTAACACGTAACATTAGCCACGTTGGGGATGACATTCTGCTCGGCAAGCACGCGCACTGCCAGCATGGCTATGAGCCCCAAGGTCTGCCGCCTCTCGTGCCCCATCAGACACACTGTGCTCTCATTCACTACTCCGTGGAGGGTCATCAGGTAGTCATACTTGCGGTCTTCAAGGCCCACAAAGTGGTTTTGAAGGTAGGACTCCAGCTTGCGCTGCTGCTCACCAATGTCAGGGAAGTCAATGAAGAAGCGTGAGCACATGTAGCGCTGCAGGGACTTCATCTCTGACTCGGACGCCGCCCGGAAACCTCTCACCAGGAGGTGACAGTACTTCAGGAGGCCCCCGCCTCGGATCTCCTCCGGGTTCCGGGTGCAGATGACCTTGTGACGTAGGTGGTCCAGGGCCTCGCTGAAGTCTCCGTACACACTCTCGCCCATGATGGTTGGGTGGAAGGTCTCGGCCATGGGGTTCTCTGAGCACTCGTAGAACAGCAGCAGGGAGTCCAGTTTGATCTGAAAGGAGTCCACACTGAACTCAAACTGCCGCCGAAGGGAATCCACAAACTTCAGCTCCACATTCTTCCCCCGGTTGTTAGAGAGGGAGATGAGACTCCAGCGGTCTGAGTCATTGCACACCTTCACCATCTTTTGCACATAGGCCTCCTAAATGTGTGGGGGAAGAGGGAAGAAAAAGAGCTGATTGAGTACATATCCTTAGAAGTGCATTCACTAATTCAGTACAGCTATGTAAATGCACAGTTAGGCCTAATTTTGCATTGTGCAACAATGATTTTTGTCTTTGTGTACATAATAGCAGCATGTTTTTGTGTTAATAATGCTACTGACCACATTATCTAAGGCCAGAGAATGTACATATATGGTACCTGTATGGCTGAGCTCAGGATCCTTTCCAAATTGGTTAAACTAAATCCTCTTAACTACAGAAAACCAACATTTACTATCACTAAACTAATCTTGTTGTATGATAAGCTGCGCGTGAACTCGTTAAGCCGAATTGACACAAATGCAATTAAAACTTATCACATATCTAAAAGTAAATAACTGAAGCAGAAAACAAACTGTAGAAAGTTGTCAGGGTGAATGTACCTTTAACGTTAAAGGAGTTATTTTCTCTTTATTCACACAGTCGGGTAAAAAATCCAGGAGGCAGTCCAAAACTATGTCCTTCACAGTCTGGAAGTCACTTTCACCTTTCATATTTGCGCAAAATATGAGGTCGAGGTCCTTGTAGCCCAGTCCACTATCCTCGTGCAGAATGTGACTGGCTGCCGAGCCGTTTAACCGAACGTCCCGGACGTGGATCTGTTTCTCCTCCATCCGACTCCGCACTACTTTGACAATCTGCCGCGGCTGCATCTCCAGCGTGGGGAAGTTTCCCCGGCCGTGGATCGGGATGGTCTCGGTTAGAATGGCGTCCAGCCGCTGCACTTGCTCCCAGCTGAGAACACTGACGTTGGTACCGTCTGTTTCAGACATAAGGCTGATAGTGGAACTGCTGTCGTCCTCTGACATGGTGGAGAAAGGTCCTCAACAATTAAAAAAAAATAAAATAAAAAATGAAATTGTTTTCTCGAAATAGGAACAAATCAGTGTTCAGCGTCTTTACGCACAAATTCTGTAAAGTAAGAGGGCTGTAACTTCATCCACATCAGGGCCCTTAGTATTTAAAGTGTTCCGAACTGACTGCAAACATGTAAAAATAAGAAAAAAATAAACCCAAAGCTAATAGTATTAGTAACGGCAGTGCGTGGCAGTTTGCGCAATAAGCCTTTGGATTGGAGATCCAGCGGAACAGTGGCGCAGCAGTCGAGCTGGTGGTTGAGTTGAGGGAAAAAGTGCAGCCAGTGAACAGAACCGTGTAGAAGAACGAGCCCTAACTTTCTCTTCTCTTTCTCTGCGCCTTTAAAACATTTGACCCGGTGGTGCTGTCAATGCGTCCGAGCGCCGCGCATCACAGTCTTTGAAGCTCGCTGATGATCCAGGAGGGGGTTTGCTTTTCCGGCTGTGACTCCATCGCCCAAAGGCACGCCTATGATTTTATGAATTTGCATGAATACGCTCTCTCCTCAAGTCGCGCTTTGGCACAATCCTCCCTCCGACGATCAGCCCCTCAGAGGTGTGTTGTGGACTTTTACGCACGGCTCCTACATAATTTGAATTTCTCGTCCCGCTGCCAAGAGATAATCCCGTTAATGCAACTTGTGTGTGCTCAGGAAATCCAGCTTGCTTTCCTCGGGTCTGTTTAGTTCAACATATTTTTGACACTTGTGGAGAAGTTAACCGTTACCTGCCCACATGACATGCAGAGTCCTTCTGCAAGACTCAGGTCTGTTAGTCTGAAGATGTCAGCTGTGCTTCACCCCGCCCCCTCTGACAGTCTGCTGCTAACACTGCTCAACATGATAATACAGTTAAGACTCTACTTTATGAACCAGCTCCAGTCTGCCTTCACGATACTTTTAGAATGCGTTTAATCTGAGGACCTTGACGCGCGCAATTGGATAATTCACTTAAGCCATTTCTGCTCTTAATTACGATTAATGCACCTAAATTCTTTTACTAAGTGAGAAAATATTTATTGTGGTCGTGATCCCTCCTTTTAAAATTAAAAATAAAACCATGAAAAAGACACGAAAAGGAAATTAACGGATTCCTAGAGTGTATTTAAAGCTCTATAAGATACAGACTGAGCTGATCTGCATACAAAGCTCACTTCACGTCCTCATGTCGCCCTCTGTGGACTGCTTTAGGTCCTGGAATAAAGTAATACAGTCCCTTACTGACTCTATTACCTTTTAAATGTCAAATTAAAGCACTACGTTCAGCTATTATAATAGCCTTAACATCTTAGGCTTTCCTAGATAACCTCAACAGTTCCTCTAGACTGGAAATATTTTCTCTTTAATCTGCTAAACCTGTTACCCCTAGACCCTGGGGGCTTATCAGATAACAGGTTACAGCCAGGGGTCTGCAGTCACACCTCTTAGATACACCTTACAACAGGCATTGAGAGCTTTAATTTGTCATGAAAGTTACATGAAGGGTCTGTAATATGTTATTTTATGCCTGGTATCCCTTTTAAAACAAGGTTGCTTCATACTTTTTTTTTTCTGTATGGGATCTTAGTAACACCTGTTCAGATGTATACCATTTGTAGTCCCAGACATAACCTGGTTCAGGTAAGAGGGTCAGGGGTCAGAGGAAAGCAGGGGCAAGACCTGGTTCCGTAGGTTCAGGACATGCAGGGGCCATATTGAGGAGGGACTGCAGTGTAAAGCCCTGCGTCACTGCAGCCACCCAGATTTGTACGCCCTGATTATCCCATTTACTCTACAGCACTGTCTTAACTCCCACACAGGAGCTCTGTCTCTGCACAGCGTCACTCCCTCTGCAGGACAGGACACGCGCACAGTCACTTATATTGCAGTTCACAGTCATATCGTGCAGCTTTGTAATGATGTAAATACAGCAGCTCCGAAATCACCAAAGAGTTTCGAAATAAGAAGAAAGGGACATATTAAAGCAGACAGTACTAGTTTTGAAGGGCTGACATTGACGTCATGTGTTAACGCTAATTTTTGTTTTGTTTTCATACTTTGCTTTGGCGTGTCGGACAGGTTGAACGCAGGTCTCTGAAATTGAATTCCACATCTGGAAATGTACATGGAACCATTAGTCAGTTACAATGGATCGAAAGCAGCCACACCGATGGGTTTCCCAGGTGTGGAGACATGGTTGCTATGGATTGGACCCAGTCCCATGGCCATACACGGCCACAGCCACTCTCTGCAAAGCTAAATTAAAGCCGCTGTCAGAGACAAACAGCAGGTTTACACATACAGCACACACAGAGGCCTGCTGATGGGATGTTTTGTTTAAATTCAACTTGCCACCTCATTATTCATCATGAAATAGATGATAAATTTGTTGGAGATTACTGAAAGACGGGAATGAGATTATGCTGTCAGAAAATTAAATGGATGCAAGAAGGCAAAAACAATACACACCTTTTCCCACCGGTGATGTTAATGTCTTTCCCTGTCTGATGGGTATGTTTATTTAGTTTAAAAAAACAAAACTTTCCAAAGTTTCCGCCTCTATTGTATGTGGAAGAGACTTCTTCTTTTCCTCATAAAGCAATCTTTTACGGTCACACAGTCTGCCTCTGGGGTCTATGAAACATTTTCTGGACAGTTCAGCCCAATAAAAAGAAAAAAGCAAAGGAGAACTGTTTTGTTTTCCAGTGTCATTTATCTGACTGCATGAGTTGGATTTATCTGCCATGAAGTGCAACATCCCCGCCGCCTTTGAGCTTTTTTCTTTAGCTTTGGTCTGTGTGCTGGAATAGACCAACAAACCTCCTCTTGTAGCTTTGATCATTCATCATCATCCAGTATCTAATATCAGCAGACCTCTGTTCTTTTTACTGATAACCCAGGTGACATTCAGCTGCTGAAAAACATTCCTACAGATACATAACATATCCAAATAACCCAGTCTTTACGACAGGGTTTTTACTGGATGAGACAGGTCAATAAAAGGCATTTGATTAAAACTTGACATTTAAAATTCTAATTAATTGAGATAAGTATTCCAAGCAGGTATAAAAGTTAAATATCAGTGCTGATTTTTAAAGCCTAGATCATGTTAAGCGGTCTTATTTTTATTTATTTATTTTATTTTAAATAAACTATGGTTCGACCTGTCCAGGGTGTCCCCTGCCTTCGCCCTAAGTCGGCTGGGATAGGCTCCAGCCCCCCCGCGACCCTAATGAGGATTAAGTGGTGTATAGAAAATGGATGGATGGATAAACTATGGTTTGATGGTACATTCCAGTATGGAGGATGGAGGCCCAAAAATTGAGAACACCCAGGATCTTTCTGCGAGGAGTTTGCATGTTCTCTCCATGCAGCATGGGTTCTCTCCGGGTTCTCCAGCTTCCTCTCACACAGTTCAAAAACATGTTGAGAGTTAATTGATGATTCTAAATAGTCCATAGGTGTGAATGTGAGTGTGCTTGGTTGTCTGTCTCTAAGTGTAGCCCTGCGATAGACTGGTGACCTGTCCAGGGTGTCCCCTGCCTTTACCCTGAGTCAGCTGGGATAGACTCCAGCCCCCCCGTGACCCTCGTGAGGATTAAGCGGTGTACAGATAATGGATGGATATATGGATGGATGGATAAAACATCCATCAACAATGACAGTCTAAAAGCAACATTAGAGTTGAAGCTCCTGCAGCTCTGCTCGTCTTTAAGTGACATTGACAATGAATAGCTACATAGTTTAGTTGTCTGGCTTCAACTTCTCTGAAGAAGAACAAAACAGAAAAAACAACTCCACGATATTAATCCGAAACTGCTGGACGAGATGTCACGTTGTGCACAACTTGTTCCTGCTGACCCATGTGGTCAAAAAAGCTACTGTAGGTTTAAGTCCTTATTATGAACTGGTATTTATTTTATTTCATTAAATTTATGTTACCCAAAGTTTTTTCTTTTTTTTTTTTTAAGCTATGCTTTTATTAAATAATAACAATTTTCATGACAGCGGAGGCGGCAAAACTAATGGCCCCTTCACCTTTCAGCCAATCCAATGTGTCCCCCTCCTCATTGGCTCACCAACCCTTACCAAAGTCGAACTGTTAGCAAACTGCTTTAGCAACAACAATTCCAAGGAATTAACCAACAGCTGGTGGAATACAGTGCAGAGACGTTATAAGGTTGAGACTTAAAGAATCCTGAGTAAAAATCTGTGCCAGAATTTGTGGCCCCCTAAATCATTGTTGTTGCACTAATTCAAGTGCAGTGTCATAAAACTGTGCTCATGCATAGTGAGAAGTATAACCTGTGGGGAAAGAGCTTTTTAAACTGCACAGAGGCAGTTACTTCAGTCTGAAACAGCAGGCTGAAATAACTGCCTCTGGGTAGGCCTTGCAAGATGGCTGCCAAGGCTGGTGCAAAGTTATAGTACAATAACTAACTTCTCCTTTAAACAAGACTCAACATGTTACCTATTATGCTAGCTAGCATGCTAGGAAAAGTTTAAATTCAATCAAAAATAAAGAGCCAGTGCTAGCAGCAGCAGCTAGCATGATCATTTAACTTGCGGCTGCAGCCACAAAGGTGTGGAGACCTGCTATTTTTCCTGCAATAATGTGAATTTGGATGTATTTCATGACACTGAGCTAGGCTTCAATTATCCAGCCTGCTGGGTGAAAGTTGACAATTCCAACTTCATAATAAAAAGCTCATTGTAAAATAAATGATTTTTCATCACTAGATGTAGTAGAAAATTTAAATAAAGGTTACTTCAAAATACAATATCTGTAGGGAAATGAGAATAAACTCAATCAAAAGCAGCTCATGTGAATTTCACAGATTTTTACAAAAACAAAAATCACATTTTGTTTATGTATTCATGTTAATATACCCTTAAAAGAACCTGCAAAGATTTTTTTTTTTTTTCCCATTATGGCATCGTGGTTTTTGTGTTTTGTTTTGTGTTGTTTTGTGTTGTTTTGTTTTCTGTCTATTTGATTTTTTTTGATAATGCTGGTAACTAGCTATAACATGTCAGCTCTAATTGATTTCAGCCTACAAACAATATAGATTTGAGCCATCAGCCACCCACGGAGCTACCGGTAGAACATATGGATTACTTTCTGCTCTGCGTCATACCAACCAGAGAGCGACACTCACATTCAGGTTCCTTCAGCATAATAATTAGAATTTCTGTCTCATTAGAAGCAATAAAGGGAAAAAGCTGATGACCTTCTACCAACTTTGCATTCAGCAGAGGAGGAGAGAACAGAGCTGCATGCTACATTGTGCCAAAATGAGAAAACAAGCCAATAAACCTACAATGAATGATAAAATAAAACATGAAAGATGCAAAAAATCCCAGCTGGCATGTGTGCAAAGTGTGTTGTGACAACAGTAAGGGATTTGAACACAGTGTCAAACAACAGACATTTCATTTTCAAACTATCAAAACAAGTCAAAATGTTTTTTTTCTGCTGCTGGTGAAACGTGGAGAAGAAAAGATTAAAGAAGATGGGCGTCAAATGCGATCTGAAGCCCTTGTCCTCAGATACTCTGCAGCATGACGACGGTCTCACATATAGGCGAGCAGTTCCTGAGGCAATGTTGCTTGAAAAAATATGAGCGATGACATAACTAGAAAACAAAGATCCACTCATTTTCCTCAGTTCTCTGTCTCCTCACTCCTGCTTCGTCCTCAT